AGAGAGAGAGATAATCGTTTCTCTCTCTCTCTCACTTGTATTAATACGTTCCTCTTTAACTTCCGTAAACACACAAACTATATAATATATTTAAGTTACAGTTCTTTTACGTTGTGTTAGTTAATTACCGTCGAGTTGAATACACACACACACACACACACACACACCTACGTCAGATAATAAAGAGTTTACTCAAATAAAAATACTTTTTATATATACACAAAACTAGAATGCACTTAATGTAACCACAGAACAAACCCACATAAACCATATTTACTATAGGAAGATATAAAACAAATAGGAAATGATATAGGTGGATAAGGTTAACAATAGGAGGAGGGCTATAGGCCACAGAGCTGCCCTCCTAGCACACCAAAGGTTCTGTAGAATAATTGGGATCCTTCACAAAATTACTGTTGTAGCCACCGTGTGTTGTTTAGGGGTCCTGGGGTCAGCCTCTACAAGCCATCCCTGTTAGTGGGTAGTGAGGGAGAGAGAGAGGGAGGTGGAGAAGTGAGAGAGAGAGAGAGAGGGAGGTGGAGAAGTGAGAGAGAGAGATAGAACAAGTGAATATATAATCTATTCCTTGTGCCTGGACTTCCAATCTCTACCCCGTGCATATGTTACAAGCACACACACACACACACACACACACACACACACACATACAGGTAAGGTTCACAAGAGTTCACAGAATTAGTAATCTGGTGAGTTCTGGAGATTCGTGTGTACTTTCTTGCGAGTTTTTTGGAGGGTTTTTCCCCCTTCAAATAAAAAAAAACTATAGTATTTATATTATTCACTTGACTTCTAAGCATTTTCGTTACGTTGATTTAAGTTATTATTTTTTTTTGTAATATTGTAACTTTTTTTTTTAATTTCCATTTATTTGTTTCTTGTATATTATTTTCTGAAGTTACAACTAGACTCTGAATTAACTACCAGGGTCTTTAAGCATCGTTCACTAAGTCTTAACACCTACGATAGACAAATAAAAACCACAAAAACATGTATAAAACAAAATAATAAAAATAAAATAAACAAATAAAAATCGACATTAAAGATACGACTGAATGAGTGTAACGTTGGGACTAAAATTCTGGGAGGGAAAAAGAATGTGGAAGAGGAGGGTTTTGTCTTACTCAACCTCCATGAATACTAGAGGGAGGAGGAGGAGAGGGGGAGAGAGAGGGAGGAAGGAGTGGGAGAGAGAGGGAGGAAGGAGTGGGAGAGAGAGGGAGGAAGGAGTGGGAGACATGAAAAAGAGAGATACACTGGAGTGCTTCTTGAAATGGAGAGAGAGAGAGAGAGGCAGGAAGAGGAAGAGGGGGAGGAGGAAGAGGGGGAGGAGGAAGAGGGGGAGGAGGAGGCTGGGATACACAATGAAACAGAACTCCACACACACACACACACACCAGCTCTAAGCACCGATAATAACCATAAACATAATTCAAATGATGTTTTTTTCTTCTTTAAGGATAAACTGAGACACAAGATGACAGACTGTAAAGGCGGACTTAGTAAATGATGGTGTTCCTTCTCTGCCACACTGATACATCTATTGTTTTTGTTTACTTGTCTATTACTACTACTACTACTACTACTACTACTACTACTACTACTACTACTACTACTACTACTACTACTAAACTATTACTACTACTACTACAAGTAACAATAATAACAACAAAATCTATCCACCATAAAAAACTGAAAACACCCACATATTTTGTTTTTTGAGGGGAAACTAAAAAAAAAAAAATCATAATAATAACACTAGTGAGTTCTTTCAACCACAGCACTGGGACGCGACAATACCCACCCGTTGTGTTGTGTTGATATGTTAATGAGGAGACAGCCTGCGTGCCCCGTCAAACACTCGACTTTATATGAATAAAAAATTTGGCACTGATTTTTTGGCAGATTGTCCCTAAATTTTGGCCCTCGCTAAAAATGCAAATTTCCTGGTAGTATGAACGTGGATTAACGGCTGGTCAGTGTATGTGTGTGTGTGTGTGTATAGCGTATGTAGTATGTTTGCACACATGAATATACGTAGATAAATCCAGAGTTATGTATACATTCGAACACACATGGTTGTATATGTATGCGAAGAGTTATTATACAAAAATACATATGTTTACAAATGCACACATAATACTATGAAAAACACACATACAGATACACACACACACACACACACACACAGCCCACACACACACACACACACACACACACACACACACACACACACATACACACACCTACATCTCGAATAAATATACATACAAATTCTCCTCCATACCTGTACACACACACACACACACACACTCACACATAAAATCAGAGCCTCCCTACACACGGGACATATCTCTCGCCCTAAAACCCATTTACATCATAAGAGTGAGGCATGGCAGTGCGTCTCTACCCTCATATTATCTCCGTCGAATCACCCTACTGGGGCCGTGAGAGTGCCAGGGCCAAGTGGCACTTACTGGAGGGGGAGGCAGGTGACCAAAACCGCTCCCTGGCACTATAAGAGACATTATGGCCCTTTCACACGACCGCTGAAATTACCAGAGAGAAAGAGAGACCGTGTGTGTGTGTGTGTGTGTGTGGGTGTGTGTGGGTGGGTGGTGAGAGAGAGAGAGAGAGAGAGAGAGAGAGAGAGAGAGAGAGAGATATGTCTGTTTGTGTACTACGGGTGTCTCGGTAACCACAGTTCCTCCTTGGTCAATAATCCCAGCTCCCTCAAGTATGCTGACCGTAAAGTAAATAAGGTTTTAAATGTCTCTCATGCAGTCTTATGTGATGAAATATATCCCAACAACCTGAACTAACTTTAACGATTGTCAGAAGTTTCAATGCTGCTGGAAGAGTTTGTTGAATTGAGTGTCCAGTTGTAGTGGGTATTGGCGTGGTATTGGAAGTCAGAATTCAGTTCAGAGAGATTTTTATGTTTTTTTTTCCCGAATTCAATTTGTACTTTTTGTGAAAATACACGATCAAATATTTCTACAGAGAGCAATAGTTGTTGGCAATACATTTCACTGGGAAAAACAAACTAACATCACTTGTAAGTTTTTTTTTTATATACTGTAAAAAAAAACGACGAAAATATTTACAGTAAAATCGACAAAATGTGGACAAGTTAAGTTATTTGTTTTGAATATAATTTATAGTTGGTAAATATAAACACCTTTTGTCCTTAGTAAAACATTAACCTTTTCGTACACAGGGACCATTAACTCCTTCCTCTTGAGTACAACACGAGTACTATAACACACTTTAGTACAGTAATGGTATGTAAGTCACCTCTAGCGGGTCTGTTGCTACACGGTTATGGAGATTGGTGTGCAAATTGGTATTTTTTCTGTGTATTTTTTATGGAGTTGATAAATATTTCGTTTTTTCATATACAATCAGTGGCGGGGCTCGTGTGGGGTGGGGTGGTGGGGGAAGGAGGGAGGAGGATGCTGAGTGGTGATGTTGAATGGAATTGGGGGGTAGGAAGGAGGGGTAAGGAAGGGAGAAGGTGGGTGAGGAAGGAAGGGGGTGTAGAAGAAAGGGAGGACAGGGTGGGAAGGGGGAAGGGGGAAGGGAGGACAGAGGAAGGGGCTACACTCCTTGGCAGTATCATACGGCAGGTGTTGGATGTGTCCGGTAAGAAATCCATTACGTCAGATGATGGCAGCGTCCAGTAAGGTATTTCCTGGAAGCCTGGAACATGTACTGGAAGACAATTTAGACGGTTATTCTTACTTATAAACCATTTTAAGTATATTTTTCTGGTTCACTTATATATTATGTCTGGGAAGTTACAAGATTTAAAATGGATTTGGTTGAATCGTAGTGAGTCTGTGGCGAAGTTTATGGTATCCTTGTAGGAGGCTGGCGGAGGGATATCCTAGAATCCCGTGAGCAAGAATCATTGAGATCCTGAAAATCCGACATGATAGTGCTGCAAATATCTCGAGGACTCTCTATCTCTTGTTCTCGAGAGTGTGGTACGAGGACGAGCTAAGGATCTGGGGAGTGAGAGACCGGATGGTGAGGAGTGAGAGGGAGAGTTCCTACCTGAGAATACCCGCTGTCTACTTATCCACATGAAGAACACACACACACGTAGTCAACATTGGTCTGTTATTGGTACCCAGAATGCAGCTCCCCGCCATGCCTCTTCCCCCAATTCAATTTTCACTCTTGTGTAAATACGTCACCAAATACATTCCTGCAGAGAGCAATATCACTCTGTGGATATTATTATGAACTATACTATATGCAACACAGTCTTTAGAAACACTCGGTAGTATAATATGTAATACAGTCTGCAACACAATTTGCAACAAGGTATGCGACTTAGTTTGCAACACAACAACAAGACGTTTTTCTTCATTTGCCTGCCTGCCATCCTGCCTGCCTACGTACTTACCTACCTGCCTGCCTGCCATCCTGCCTGCCTACGCACTTACCTACCTGCCTGCCTCGCTATCTATCTACCTATCACGCCACCTTCTCCTTCTCTCAGACAATAAATAAATCAAAACATTCTCACTCCCCACAATGTTCTCAGCTTCCAAGAACAACAACAAACTAGTCTGAAGATAGAGTGAGCCGTCAGCAACAGTTGTCAGCCATGTCAGCCTCGGGGGACTTTTTCCTTCTTTCTTCTTCCTACTTCTCCTCCCTTCCCCTTCTTCTTCCCTTCCTTCTCCTCCTTTGTTTGGGAAATAGAACACCATCTCTCTCTGTCTGTCTGCCTGTCTCTCTCTCCTTCTCTCTGTTTCTGTGCCAATTGAACGTCACTAGTTAAGGTAGAATCTCAATGCAATTATAAAGTTAAACTATAATTCACTTTTACACATCACCTCGAGTCAGCCAGCTAGGTTGTGATCTGACGACTGTATTGACGTGTAAGATTCAACAGTCGAGTCACAGAGGAGAGGTGAATCAGTCCTTCAGGTGTTAGACTGGCAAGGGACCTCTGCTATTACTCTGTCATGGTGTACAGCAGAACCCAGGAGACTTGTCGCCCCCGTCAAGACCGTTCCCCCGTCAAGACCGTTCCCCCGTTGAGACCGTTCCCCCGTCGAGACCGTTCCCCTCCGAGACTGTTCCCCGTCGAGACCGTTCCTCGTCAAACTGTTCCCCGTCAAGACTGTTCCCGTTGGACCGTCCCCGTCAAGACCGTTCCCCCGTCAAGACTGTTCCCCGTCAAGACCGTTCCCCCGTCAAGACCGTTCCCCGTCAAGACCGTTCCCGTCAAGACCGTTCCCGTTGAGACTGTTCCCCGTCAAGACTGTTCCCTCAGTGTCTCCGTCAGTAGTACGTCGCTTTATTAACCGAACTCCTCCTCCTCTCCTTGTCTTTACCTCCTTCCCCCCTTCCTGTCTCTTCCTCTCCTCACTTCTTCCTCTCTTTACTTCCCTCTAGTTCTTATCCTCCTCCTCCCCTCCCCCTTCCCCCTTCTCTCTCTCCTCCCTATAAGTCCCTCACCTTTCACCCCCATCCCATCTCCCATCTCCCCCCTCTCATCCCTCACCCCTCACCTCTCCTCTCTCCCTCATCCCTCACCCTCACCCCTCACCCCTCCACCTCATTTTAGATGCTTCCCTGAGGTATTTTGTCGATTCGGGTTATTGTTTAGCCTGTGTTACCTCTGCTGCTTCCGGTGTTCTTAGGCGATGACCTTTAACCTGTGTGTGTGTGCCAGAACCACATCAAAATCTACACTAATGGAGGGTCGGTGAGAGTAATCCCTAGAAGGATGGAAATCCCCCCCAACCCATCCCTCCAGGCATCTCTCCTCTCCCTCCCCCCACTCCCCCAAGCTGCCTTCTACCATTATCATCACCATCATCACTACACTTCTCTAACCCAACCCAACCCAACCTAACCCAAAACCCAACCTCAGGTCCAGCTTCTCCCCTCATATGTAAACATTATAATATTTATGGATAACTTCTATGTTCACTTCGTGTTCCTTTTATTTTTACTACTGAAAGCTTTTGTTAAACGAGTTAGTCTTTTGTTTGTTTATTTTGATGTTTTTGTTGTTGTGTTTTTGTTAATTTGTTTGTTATTGTTGTTTCTGTGGGTATTGTTGTTGTTGTTATTACTGCTGTTGTTGTTTTTATTATTGTTATTGTTATTATTGCTTTTATTATTGTTATTATTGTTAGTGTTGTTATTACTATTATTATTTACACACATAAGCTTGATAGCTGCCGAAATTCGTTCTGTCTCATAAGTTTCAATGTACCATTAGTGTCTTGTACCCCCCCTCCCCCCAGGTACAGCACTACACCTGCTCCCCAGGTACAGCACTACACCCTGCTCCTTCCCCCAGGTACAGCACACCCTGCTCACCCCCCAGGTACAGCACCATCCTGCTCCCCCCAGGTACAGCACTACACCCTGTCCTCCCCCAGGTACAGCACTCACATCCTGTCCCCCCCAGGTACAGCACTACACCCTGCTCCTCCCCCAGGTACAGCACCTACACCCTGCCCTCCCCCCAGGTACAGCACTACACCCCTGCTCCCCCTCCCAGGTACAGCACTACACCCTGCTCCCTCCCCAGGTACAGCACTACACCCTGCTCCCTCCCCAGGTACAGCACTACACCCTGCTCCCCTCCCAGGTACAGCACTACCCTGCTCCTCCCCCAGGTACAGCACTACACCCTGCTCCTCCCCAGGTACAGCACCTACACCCTGCTCCTCCCCCCAGGTACAACTACCTGCTCCCCTCCCCAGGTGCCACTACACCCTGCTCCCCCCCCCAGGTACAGCCTACACCCCTCTCCCCTCCCAGGTACAGCTACACCCTGCTCCCCAGGTACCACACCACCCTGTCCCCTCCCCAGGTACAGCACTACACCTGCTCCCCCCCAGGTACAGCACTACACCCTGCTCCCCCTCCCGGTACAGCACTACACCCTGCTCCCCCCCCAGGTACAGCACTACACCTGCTCCCTCCCCAGGTGCAGCACTACACCCCTGCTCCCCCAGGTACAGCACTACACCCTGCTCCCCTCCCAGGTACAGCACTACACCTGCTCCCTCCCCAGGTACAGCACTCACACCCCTGCTCCCCCAGGTACAGCACTACCCTGCTCCCCCAGGTACAGCACTACCCTGCTCCCCTCCCCAGGTACAGCACTACACCCTGCTCCCCCAGGTACAGCACTACACCCTGCTCCCCCCCCTTGGATACAGCACTACACCCTGTATCAGTCTTGTTGTCTATGTAACACTGTATTACACTGTATTAACGTGACGGAGAGTGGAACTGAGTTTATTATTTACAGTATTTATGACCTTTCAAATAATTAAAGATATTTATAGTATTAAAAAAATTCATTTACGCTTTTCTTAGATATATCGACTGTCATTATTATATAAACAAGGTAGTTTCCCTTCCCTCAAAAATGTTGTTTGACGTAAACAATTCACCTGACGCAATGTAAAAATTCGAGTAACTTGTGTCAATTAATGAGAAGGAATTGTACTCTGGATTTGCGTCATTTGCTTCACTTGTCTCATTGACTTCGTTTCTTTTATTGGATATATTTGTTATGTGTGTAGAACTCCTTATTTGTACGTGTTTGTTTGTTTGTTTGTTTCGTGTGTGTGTGTGTGTGTGTGTGTGTGTGTGTGTGTGTGTGTGTGTGAGGAGCATGTTATGTCCACCGGAGCATGAAGGTAGTGGTGCGGGTCCCTATATACAGTGTGTGTGTGTGTGTGTAGGACCACGAGGGTGTATAACAGAGGGAGTAAACACGACACAGAGGGGCCTGTTAGTGACCATTAATGACCCTTGAGGCAGAACACCACCACCACCACCACCACCACCACCACCACTCTAATTGACTGACTGAATATAACTGTATACTGTCATGGTGAAAGAGAAGAGAAGTAGTGTATGCATATAAACCCATATTTATTTATATAGACTGTTTATAAATATCAAGACGAGGAATCTTATCTTTTTACCTGTTCATTAATCACCAACAGTGTAATTATTCTTCGTGTACTTCACCTGTGTAATGTAATTTTCATTAAACCCTTTGAAGAGACCGCTGCCTCACCTGATGTATACTGGTAATTAACACACACACACACACACACACACACACACACACACACACACACACACACACACACACACACACACACACACGGCCATACATCACCACTGTATTATTTTTCAGACACAAGACGTGGAGTAATTTCATTCTCACACATTCTTCCCTTGCTTATCCCTCCTCCATTCTCCTCCTCCTCCCTCCCTCCTCCCTCCTCCTCCCTCCTCCTCCCTCCCTCCATCCCCTCCTCCCATCCCCCTCCTCCTCCATCCCCCCCTCTCTCCCCGCCCTCCCTACATCTCTCCTCCATCCCCCTCCCCTTCCTCTCTCCCTCCTCTCTCCATCCCTCCTCCATCCCCCTCCCTCCCTCCCTTCCTCCTCCCTCCCTCCCTCTCCCTCCCCTCCCTCCCCTCTTCCTCCTCCCCCATTCTCCTCCTCCTTCCTCTCCCTCCTCCATCCTTCCTTCCTGCCCTCCAGTACTAAACATTTCCACTGTAGCGACAGCCTCAAGGGCCCACACTGTTAAACCTCTCATTTATTTCCTGTGTGTGTGTGTGTGTGTGTGTGTGTGTGTGTGTGTGTGTGTGTGTGTGTGTGTGTGTGTGTGTGTGTGTGTGGCGGGAGGACTGTTGGATGCTCAGACGTGATGAGAATGTATTTATTGTATGAGTATTAATATTCATGTGTATATGTGCTTGTGTGTGTATATGTATGCTTGTGTGAGTGTCTGTGTGGGTGTGTGCGTTCATTGTACTGGATAGAATATATATATCTGTATATATATATGTGTGTGTGTATAACGTGTAGATGCATATATGTATGTAATTAAATACCAGTATATGTATATCTATGTATATCATGCATATCTATATACATACATGATCAAACACCATATGTAGATCACAAACACACACCTATGACAAACAAACCATATATTATTGAACACCTGAGTTACAAAAGACACATTAATTAACCTTTGTGTTTACCTGTGATAATATAAAAAAACAAATAATTAAATAACACATGTGATAAACTCGGTAATAAAAGAGGAATAGAAGAAACAGACGTAATAAGGCGTAAGAGATGATAATAAAGAGAGAGAGAGAGAGAGAGAGAGAGAGAGAGAGAGAGAGAGAGAGAGAGAGAGTGTCACCAGCATGGACTGTCCCGGAATCTCAAGGGAGTCAAGAGCGTCAAATTACCCTGTCTGACCGAGGTATTTTTTTGTCACCCCGTCACCTACTCTTGAGAAAGATCTGTTGATATATTTTTACGAGGCTGAGTCTTTCAAGGCTCACTAATGAACCTCACTTGAAGGGATTTTGAAGAGAACTAAAAAGACTCGCATTTGATGATGTTGGAGGAGTCTTCTGGAGTGTTGGAGGGTTCGTTTTGCTTGTTGTTGTAGTGTTGGGGGTGTGTTGGGGGTGTGTTGGAGGCACCGTCTTGCTTGTTGTTGGAGAGTTGGCGGTTCTATTGGAGTGTTGGTGGATCTGTTGAAAGCAAATATAAGATAATTATTTTGTTGACAGCTCAAACATGAATAACAATACCAATGAAAATAAACAAACAGACTCCTTTTGGAGGTCGGGGGAAGACAGTGCTTTACTCTCCCCGTTTAGAAACATGACATAAGGACCATTTTCTTTAGTAGTTTGTATTGTAATGGTTATGGTTTAGTCCTGAACTGAATGGTGGCCCAATTTTCATAACTGTCTGGCCATCGTTTGGAGTTACGAGTGAGGTGGTACGAGAGAGAGAGAGAGAGAGAGAGAGAGAGAGAGAGAGAGAGAGAGAGAGAGAGAGAGAGAGCGCTCCTGACGCCATACCAAATTACTTACACTTAACTCAACCAATCATTAACCTGCTTCACACCTCACTATACCTTTTAATTGGCTCTACACCAAACAAACAAAGCAGCCAATCACGTGCCTCCCTGCCTTAGTAATCACTTCTATTGACCTCGTTAGCGCCATGTTGTTACAGTAACCACAATCACCTCAACTAAGGTCAATAATGTAATGGATGGATTAGTTTGAGGTGAATCCAATTAGCTCCCCATCACCTGGCTAGTTAATTGTGCATCTAATTAAATCATTCAAAAGTTGGATTAAATTCATATGGTAGAATGTATCACCTGTGTGTGTGTGTGTGTATGTGTTGGGAGTCCTGTTTCCTCCTACGTGTGTCTCATGATTTCCCATGAGGTATCCTGTACCATCCTGGACATTGGCATCCTTCGGGGACTCCTACAGGCTATTCCTTCCTCCTCCTCCGTCTCCTTCAGCTGGTATAAGGACCCAAGGACACTCTCTGGCCTTAGTTCTTGGTTAGGTTAGGATAGGTTAGGTTAGGTTTTGGTTAGGTTAGGTTTTGGATAGGTACTTACACTACATCTGTACCTACACCACACCTGTACTTACACCACACCTGTACCTACAGTACACCACACTTGTATCTACACCACACCTGTACTTACACCACACTTGTATCTACACCACACCTGTACTTACACCACACCTGTACCTACAGTACACCACACTTGTATCTACACCACACCTGTACTTACACCACACTTGTATCTACACCACACCTGTACTTACACCACACCTGTATCTACACCACACCTGTACTTACACCACACCTGTATCTACACCACACCTGTACTTACACCACACCTGTATCTTGACGACGATGAATTAACCCCATGATAACGAGAACTTAATCACAATTTATTCTCAAAGGGTTCAGTCATCATCATCCTAAAAGTCATCGTCTTCCATAAAGTCATCATCACCGTTAAAGTCATCGTCTTCCAGTCATCATCACCGTAAAAGTCATCGTCTTCCATAAAGTCATCATCACCGTTAAAGTCATCGTCTTCCATAAAGTCATCATCACCGTTAAAGTCATCGTCTTCACAGGATTTCAGTATAACTACCTAACACACAGACAGACACAGCCTCCTACTACACCTGGCATCTTTGATTTAGGCCTTTTTCTCCTTTCTTCTCATTAAACTACGATATCAACTGAATCATCTCTGAATGTTGCAAGTTTGTGTATAAATTGTCCATGAAATTGCGTTTGGTATTTTACTGGTTGAGGATTTTTTATTTAGGTTTTGTGTGTGTGTGTGTGTGTGTGTGTGTGTGTGTGTGTGTGTGTGTGTGTGTGTGTACCTGAAAGTGAGAGAGAGAGAGAGTACATTCTTTGCTACTGTCAGACAATCCAACACACTGGAAAAAACAGACAGACAGACAGACAGACAGACAGACAGACAGACAGACAAACAGACAGACAGACAGATAGACAGACAGACAGACAGACAAACAGACAGATAGACAGACAGACAGAAACGACACCTCAAATATTCACCTTAATTTGCATATCCCATTAAATACCTCGGCATCATTATATTCACTAAGTATGTTCCTGTAAAGCCATAATAGAGATTAAAGCGCCATTATCTTATCTCCGGGTTATAGTTTAGATAAATGGCGTAAGCTAGTGTTTATTGAGCTGCTGTGAGACCGTGTTGTGATGTGTGGACACACTTAAGATCTGACGGACGAACGGATAGGTGGGTGCACACACACACACACACACACACACACACACACACACACACACACACACACACACACAGTGAATAGTAAAAAAGAGTCAATTTAAGTTTCCAATTAAACCCTCAACTTTTCTGTTTTTTTTTGTTTTTTTTCCCCAACAATTTCCATTCAGTGTTAAATTACCTCTCCGATTCAACCAATAAATTGACGTTAATTACTCCACTCACCTGCCAATCAAGTGGCTGTTTTAACCTGTACTGAAAGATGGTTTAAATTACAAGAGACTAAATAATATTATAGGGTTAATTTTTAATGCAAAGTATATACACACACATTAGGGTTAGTGGTGGTAGTTGTGGTGGTGGTAATGGTGGTTGTGGTAGTGGTGGTGGTGGTAAGGATGGTGATAGGTTTGGTAGTAGTTGTGGTAGTGGTGGTGGTGGTGGTGGGAAGGATGGTGGTAGGGATGGTAATGCTTGTGGTAGTGGTGGTGGTGGTGGGAAGGATGGCGATAGGTTTGGTAGTGGTTGTGGTAGTGGTGGTGGTGTGGGGAGAGGGATAATTGGTAGGATGGTAATGGTTGTGGTAGTGGTGGTGGTGGTGGGAAGGATGGTGGTAGGGATGGTAATGGTTGTGGTAGTGGTGGTGGTGGGAAGGATGGTGGTAGGGATGGTAATGGTTGTGGTAGTGGTGGTTGTAGATCTTGGTAATCGTTATGGTGGAAGCGGTGTTTAAGGATGGTAGTGGCTGTGGTGTTTAGTAGTTGTAGTGGTGGTAGTAATGGTTGTAGTTGTGGTAGTGAGTTTATTCTAGGTAGATTAGTAGAGAAATCCTGTACTATTGATTCACCTTTAATTAACTCCTGTATCGTCGACCCGATCTCAACACACACACACACCCTTTCCACATTGAAAGCTTAGGAGGGGAACTGTTTAATTGTGTTTGGTGGGAGTGATGTGTGACGATGGCTTGTCAGGTGTGGCGGCTGATGCTGACAGAGGAATTGTATTATTTTTAGTACAATTTTTCGTTACATTGTACATTGGTATTAGTGTACATTAATACAACAACAACTACAACTAGTCCACGAAGGTATGGTAAGGTGAGGTGAGGTGAGGTGAGGTCAGGTAAGGTCAGGTCAGGTCAGGTAAGGTGAGGTCAGGTCAGGTCAGGTAGCGTAGATCACATACAAAGCCCAGTAGACGAGCACCAATAGCGAGCCTCTGATCCCCTACAAAAGGTGCCTCTGATTGGTTATTTTCCTGTCCGGACCGACCAATTGGATGGCTCCTGAGACGAGCCAGAGGATCACTCGAGAAAGATGCGGAGGAAAACTCTCTCGCTACTTTTTCCTTTGAGGAGGAAAATTTTTACCTTTACGAGGAAAAGTTATATAATTTGATTCTTGAAGTAGATCTAAACTTTATTTTACTTCTATCTATTTCAAGTATATTTTATTTGTTACTGGAATCTGGGATTTTAATTGTTTTTCTTACTTTTTTTCTTAAGATCAGAAGTTTTCGTTGATGAGGAAAAATATCCCCTCTTTTTTTTTTCTTAGTGTTTCAAAAGTTAAATTTTTTTTAATCAAGTTTTTAAAATTTTAAATGCCGGAACTTTCCACATGTGACTTTTTGGTTTCATCCTTTGAGGTATAAACTTTCTATTAGGAGAAAACTATTAAATATTTTGACCCTTTACATATCTTTATCTATGTAACTATTTATAGAGTCAAAAGTTTAGAGCAATATTGAAGAACCACCAATAGAAGCAACACCTTAAAGACAACAATATAATAATAACCAGTTGGACTAGAGCCTGTTAGTCTAGCGAGATAACGCGGCCACACACATACGTCATAACCCACCCTTATAGGTGCTACCAGGCTGAGGGCATTACATGTACTAACCAGGATAATTGATTAGATAATATGATATAATATACCAAATTTTTGACTTGATTATAGGTCTAGATACAATGAATGGTAGGTTAGACACACACACACACACACACACACACACACACACACCCACACACACACACACACCCACACACACACACACACACAGGGCACTGTAGCCTAAATTGCGTGATCTGGAGTAAGTTAGTACGCAGTGAGTTTGTTGAGGACGCTACTAAATGCATACTAACGTGTTGTTTACAGTGTTACGGCCAGCACTAGACAGCCTGCCCCAGTGGACCTGCTCAGCCTGCCCCAGTGGACCTGCTCAGCCTGCCTCCGTGGTTCTGCTCAGCCTGCCCCAGTGGACCTGCTCAGCCTGCCCCAGTGGACCTGCTCAGCCTGCCTCCGTGGTTCTGCTCAGTCTGCTCAATTCTTCAAGGTAGGTTACGTTAAGTTTAGGTGAGGTGAGGTGAGGTGAGGTTTGGTTAGGTTAGGTTAGAGTAAGTTAAAGTAAATTCAAATTAGATCCAATGCATAATTTAGCGAGATATTTCATACAACAGTCAACAGCATGATTCACGCAACAGTAAACAATATCTTTCATCCATTCATTATTCAACCATACATTTCATACAACATTTAGGGAATTTTTTATACATTATTGAAAAACGGTATACATTAATATATTATGCATTAACTTGTATGACGATTTGATTGATGTATGTATGTATGTATGTATGTATGTATGTATGTATTTAATTCACACTTTCAATATAATAAATAGGTAAGTATATGCAAAACAGGCAATACTATATGTGAAATCTACGTAAGCTAATGAGACACAGGTAGCGATACAGACAGCCTACCTGCAGGTAATTAGGAGTACAGGTAAGTTATGTCTACAATCAGGTGTATCTCTCAGGTAACTGGAAACCAATTAACGCTAAGTCAAGGTGAATCACTTCTTATTAGTAACCAAATAATGTTAGGGAAAGGAATATACCTATTTATGTAGAGGGATATACCGAATTATAGAGTTATATACCGAATTATAGTTATATGCCGAATTATAGAGAGGGATATACCGAATTATAGAGTTATATACCGGGTTATAGAGTTATGTACCGAGTTATAGAGTTTTATACCGAATTATAGAGAAGAATATACCGAATTATTGAGGGAAATAATATAGGGAAGAAAGGTCGTTATATCGAGGGTCCATCAGATGTGTAACCCCATCTAATGTATTATATGGAGAGAGAAGTCCGTTATATGGAGGTTTTTCTGTATACCGGAAATATACCACCAGGATATAGGTAAACAGAGGGGCAATTAACCTGCAATTACCCCCCCCCCCTTCTACCTCCAATACCCTCCTCCACCCCGACTACCCCCCATCCTCCTCCTCCATCCCTTCCCTCCCTACCCCAGAACCAGTTATATCACAGGTAATTGGCCCCATTAATCTGCCTGGCCAGGTATACAACTATACATACAGTGTTATCATCAGCCCATTAAAACTTTCTCGACCTGGGAGGAGCTGTGGCGGGGACAAACTTTCTCCCCCTGTACGTTAAATATTTCCCTGAACCACGATAGAAAAGCTTTGAATTTTCCCCCATTACAGGTAAAAAAATCCCCAGCAAAAACTAGAAACGGAAAGGTTTTAAGGAAATATTTGGCCGGTATTCTTCCCTTCATTATCATAGACAGGGAATATTCTGTGTTTTTATAATAGTTTAGGGATAAATTGATGTAAATAAAATAAAGTTTTAAAGTTTGGTCAAATTAGGTTAGGTTAGGTTAGGTTAGGTTAGGTTTGGTTAGGTTAGGTTAGGTTGAGTCACATCTTATGGCCTCATGACCCAACAGCAGTGTCGTCTACAATAAATCTTCCTTCCTGGTAAGTGAGGCGAGACGACAAGCGCCATAACTCTCCCACAGATCACACTTATTATTAATGGTCTTCAACTTAGTCTAGTGGAGGTTGGTGTTGTTGCTGCCGGTGTCTCAATGTTTGGTGTTTTGTGCACCTCAACAGCTCCAGGGAGGGAGGGGAGGGGGGGGTCTTGCTTGAAGGGGAGTTGGGGGGGGTGGAATCCCTGGGGGAAGGGGGCCGTCGTGAGGTGGGGTTCTTTTGTGGGGACAAGGGACGGGTGTGGGGAGGGAGGGAGGGGGGGAAGATCTTACCGGTTCTGGGTCCAAGCCAAGAATTACACAAGCACACACGCACAACACAGACCATTTCTCATGTTTCCAATTTCCTCTTCCTCGTCTAGTGATGACTGTGATAACATGTAAATATAGATCTATCTGTCACGTCTTTATCAATATTTTCTACTTCACCTTTTTTTTTTAGCATTTTCTGAGCTTTTGTATTTTTCGTTTTTCTTATTTTTCTATATTTCTTTCGTTCTTTCGTATTCTGTTTCTTTGTAGTTCTCTCTCTCTCTCTCTCTCTCTCTCTCTCTCTCTCTCTCTCTCTCTCTCTCCTCTACACACCATTCACTAGATCTTACTTCCCACACGAAACAAAATAATTGAAAAATAAGTCTAAGGTAATTAATCTGTCTTTATATTCATTAAGTTACAACAATATTTATGAACACTTTTGAACACCTGCTATTATCTACCCCCTATGGAGTGGTAGGGGCCATATAGTGCTATTAGGAGAGTCAATAAGGTCGACAGTCATCTGGTTTTGCACTCAGCCAACGCACAAATGAGCAACAGGTAGATAGTTACCTTGTGCTTGGTGTGTTGGGGAAGGGTGATTAGAACCCCAGATTATTTCACTAAAGAGAGAAAGAGAGAGAGAGAGAGAGAGAGAGAGAGAGAGAGAGAGAGAGAGAGATTCACCCAAGTCCACCCGAATAGCGAAATAAACATTGGTAGGCGAGGACCAATCACGTCACTCCATTCCCGCATGTGAGTGGATTTTATCTAGGGATTTTTAGTACTGTATGAGCTACGAATTATTTCCCGGGTTTAATTGGTAGCGGGGAATTATTATGTCTTATGATAAATGGCTTTTGTTAAGGGTAATTATCATATGAATTACCTGTCAAGTTCCATTAATTAACATACGAGTTACCTGTCAAGTGCCATTAATTAACATATGGATTTACCTGTCAAGTGCCATTAATTGCCAAGCGCCATTATCTCGAAAGTGCCATAAATTACCGAATAACATACTGTCAAGTGGCACTAATTATGAGGTGCCATTACTCCTGTCAAGTGGCACTAAATATCGACTGGTAATATGTTTAGTCATATTTTCAGTACTATTATAATGCAACACTATGTATGTATGTATGTATGTGTGTATGTATGTGTGTGTGTGTGTGTGTGTGTGTGCCTGAGTGTCTGTCTGTCTATAACAACAACACCATGATAAAACAGGTACCTTTTAAATATAACTTCACCTATATACCTAACCTAATTAACCCCATTACCATAAGTACAGGTAATCACAAACAGGTGTAAACTATACTCATATGGGTTTACATAACTTTGTTCTTCCTTGTTATAGTAAACTCCCTTAATGAATAGGTAAACTTGTCTACTTTGTCACTACACAGGTTTTCATTCTAGGTATTAGGAATTTTTCTTTGGTTATAGAAGAAATTAGCATCGTTACGTGAGGTTGGTGGAAGTTTGAGGGTGGGAGAGGTGGGTGATTGTGGGTGATTGTGGGTGATTGTGGGTGTATTGGTTGGTGTTTGTGGGTGTTTGTGGGTGTTTGTGGTTGCTTTTTTGCATCCATTTGTGTTTATGTGTGTGTATGTGTTTGTGTGGTGTATACATTTGTGTGTTTGTGTGGTTGTGTGATGTCTGTGATTGTATTTGTTTGTTCCTATAACCCACACCTACAACCCACACCTCTACAACCCACACCTCTACAACCCACAACCAACACCTACAACCCACACCTACAACCCACACCTCTACAACCCACACACCTACAACCCACACACTTACAACCCACACCTACAACCCACACCCACAACCCACACCTCACAACCCACACCTCACAACCCACACACACCTACAACCCACACCCCACAAACTACACCCACAACCCACACCCTACAACCACACCCACAACCCACACCTTCAACCCACACCCTCAACCCACACTTACAACCCACACCTACAACCCACACCCACAACCCACACCTCTACAACCCACACACCTACAACCCACACACTTACAACCCACACCTACAACCCACCCCACAACCCATACCTCTACAACCCACACCTCTACAACCCACACACCTACAACCCACACCTACAACCCACACCTACAACCCACACCTCTACAACCCACACCTACAACCCACACCTCTGCTAACGTTAATTGTGTTAATCTGGCAAAATGGATTATCAAAACAATTGACTTTGATGCATCTCCAATAAACGGGCTTTTGTTGCCTAATTTGACGAAATGACCAGGTGTTATTACTCCCAACCAGCCTCTCCGCATCCCCCTTATCCCCCTCCCCCTCAAAGAATACCCCCATCTACCCCCTGACACACACACACACACACACACACACACACTCACAAAGCCTCTTCACTCACTTAATAGACTTGTCACACGCTGGAGGCAACCAAGAATAGAGTTTCCTCCCACACACCTGCCTGAACACCTGAAAGACCAACAGGTAACTCAATGATTCTCAGGTAGTGAAGAAAAGAGGGTGGTTTAATAGGGCTGCCTTGCCTAGGTGGTGAGAGAGAGAGAGAGAGAGAGAGAGAGAGAGAGAGAGAGAAAAGCTATCATATTCACCTCACAGCTAAACAATGATTATATTTCAGTCTCTCAGTTTTACCTCAAGAATATCTACCATAGCTTTCCCACGTCTCTCTACCCTCCTTCTCTCCCTCCATCCCTCGCTCCTCCCTCCCTCCTTCTCTCCCTCCATCCCTCGCTCCTTCCCTCCCTCCCTCCCTCACTTGTTGCACCTCACTCAGTAAAAAAAATTCTCCCGTCTCGTTTTATTTCCACTTGTGTGTTTCCATGCAGGTTTTAGCTTTGAGTTTTATTTTTGTTTTCAGTTTAGATGAGAGAGAGAGAGAGAGAGAGAGAGAGAGAGAGAGAGATTAACTTCATTACATCAACACCTCATCAATAGTCCCAATTACGTCACAACATTGAGTTTTTGCACAATTCTTTCCCTGGTGATTTTTTTTCCTTCCTTTTATCTCCTTATATGACATATTTGAGGTATTTACTTTATTTATTTATTTAGTTTTGTGTTGTCATAGTAACTGAGCCGTGGTAAACTGCAACATCGTCCACGTCCTCGTTAAATTGCAACATCGTCCACGACCAGCCCGCACGAAGCCAGAGGACGGAGTTATTTCACATTCTCTCCCGCCAAAAATATATTTCCATCTCGGTATTTCCGGGGAGGTTTTAAGTCGGCCTGATACTAACACCAGCTTACGTAAGAGAGAATATCATGTTATACGGGTTATGTTAGAGAGAATATCATCATGTCATCAAAGAGAGAGAGAGGGAGGGAGAGAGAGAGAGAGATATTTATGCAAACAAGCCTCCCCTATATAACAATAATACGCTCAAAGGAGTAGGTCACCCGCCCTAACACACTGTCATAACTCGATTTTCAGAGCATACGGTAACTCACATAGTAACTCACATGGGCGGTAACTCACATAGAAAGTAAATCATATAGAACTAAGTTAGTGATCTGTGCTCAATAATCCTGGTAGTACACACACACACACACACACACACACATACACACACACACACACACACACACACACACACACACTAAAATATTCAATATCTCCATCTCATGAAAGTCTAAGTATGACATCTCGGTATTCTTGTTCTTCCTAATGCGACACAACGCTCACCATTTATTTATTTATTTATTTATTTATTTATTTATTTTCTTCCACTACGTCAATCTTAAACTTTAAAATATTTTCTGTGTGAAATTATTTACTATGAATATTTCGTAGTTATTTTCCCCGCCCTTCTCGATTTCCTCTGTATTTCGTAGTTAATTTCCCCGCCCTCTTCAACTTACCCTGCAATTCCATTAGTGAGGGTTTTTTTCCCCTGCCATCCTTCCTTCCTTGTACAGCTTTTATCCCCGCACTATATTCCCAGCTTCCAAAAATTCCCTAGAAATTTACCTCCACTTTCCCCTCCTTCATTATATTTCGTGTTCTAACATTCCCTGATTTTTTCTTTTTCCCTAACTTGTCTGGCACGCGGGGCTGTGTGTACGTGTGTGTGTGTGTGTGTGCGTGTGTGTCTCCTCTACACACAGACACACTTGTCTCCCTCCTCTTCCTACCCTCCCTCCTTTCCTGCCCCTCCTCCTCCCTCACACCCTACCCACCATTAACCTCAGTGTTGGCGACATGACCCTCCACCACCACCCCCAACACTCACCAACACCCTCAGAGTTTACAAGTGTTGGAGACGGTTCTGTTACACTATATTACAGCGAATATGACACTAACGGGTAAATCTGTTGTTACACTCCACCAACAGCTCACTCCACCAACAGCTCACTCCACCAACAGCTCACTCCACCAACAGCTCACTCCACCAACAGCTCACTCCACCAACAGCTCACTCCACCAACAGCTCACTCCACCAACAGCTCACTCCACCAACAGCTCACTCCACCAACGACTCCTCCACCAACAGCTCACTCCACCAACAGCTCACTCCACCAACAGCTCACTCCACCTTAGCTCCATACCAACAGCTCACTCACAACAGCTCATCGTGGAAAAAACATCCGAGTAAAATCTAATGTCAGTGGCGTAGCTAGAGTGTGTGCCGCCCGGGGCGGCCCTTGAGTTTGCCGCCACCCCCCGTGCCCCCACAAAAAATACATATTGCACAGTGACTCACTCTTTTATATATATATATATATATATATATATATATATATATATATATATATATATATATATATATATATATATATATATATATATATATATATATATATATATATATATATATATATATATATATTAAATAGTTTGCCTTACTGTTGTCAGACAAAAGCCACCCCGATCAAAGTAGGGGGCTTTTGTCTGGGTGGCTTTCGTCTGGGGGGCTTTTGTCTGGGTGGCTTTTGTCGGGGGGGCTTTTGTCTGTACCCCAGTGAGGATAGTGTCTTGGTATAAAATCGCAATGCTGTGAAACAAAATCTTAATATTTAATCTCAGTACCGCAGCAAAAGTCACATCAATATTTTTAACCAATACTTTAATATTTCTTACCTTATAGTATTATGTCTTCCAACGAAGTAAATAACTGGATCGAAAACACAAGAGAACTTAAAAGTCGTCTAGCCTCCCCTCGTCTTGTCACGATGGAGACTTGTGGAGAACTGAAGTGAATTGCTTGTAACTGGTGGATTGGTCGGCTGTACATGAACTGATATGACCCGAGACTGCATGGTTTTGCAGCTACTGGAGACGTTAATCCTTCCCTTTGTATCGGCGGCAAGTTAATCCTCGTCGTGTCTGACCTAACACCTGACCCACACCACATGAGCTCACTGGCGTACTTGTTTGAAGTTGTTTCCTTAATCCTCAACAGGTTACAGGTTGTGTGTGTGGGGGAGGGGGGCGCATAGCAAGGGTGTACGTAGCTCATGACGTGGCCGTGATGATGTGGGTCAGGTGTTAGGTCAGACACGACAAGGATTAACTTGCCGCCGATACAAAGGGAAGGATTAACGTCTCCAGTAGCTGCAGATATGGGTGATGAGCAGACCCAAAAGTGCCGCCCCCCCGCCCCCCCCTAGCTACGCTAGTGCAGTAATGTGGTGAATTGACTTCTGGTTTATGAGTGGGAGGTGTTTACCTTTGTCTTGGTCGGGTCCTGAGTGGGGGAGAGAGAGAGAGGGAGGTGTTGATGCTGCTGAGCTATTATTATCATCACTAAGACGTTACAACTACCATCACCACCACAATTAGTATCAACCTCAACCACCACCATCACTTACCACCCACAACCTGCCACTTACCACCACTACCTACCACTACACTCCTACCCCCACATCGAGGGACCCAGGGGAAGACTCCTTATCTGGCAGGTTGGTTTAATGTGGCAGCAGTTCAATGACTTGACTGACACACACCCTCCCTCTGTGATGATACTCTCTACCTTAATCTCACCTCCCAGACTATCAGCTGAGGAACCTTTACTGTAGAGGAACTGACATGTCATTATTTATTGGCCACACTCATTTTTGGCCACATACATCTTTGGCCACACTCATTTTTGGCCACACTCCTCCCCGGCCACACTCCTCTTTGGCCATATTCGCCCTTAACCACATACCTTATTTGAGCCTTAAAGTGGAGGTTACTGTAGCCTTACAATATAATATAACAGGTAGTAGCGTGTAAACAGCCCTCGTGTCAAACTGGTCACCGTCTCGGGATGGCGGTGGGGTGAGGGGGGGGTGGTGGGGTGTGAGGGGGTAGCTAGGGGTATTTAAAGGAGGTGTAGGTTGAGTAGAAGTTAGTTACTAGTTATATCTCTGATTTACCTGTCTGATATACCTGTCTGATTCACCTGTTTGAATTACCTGTCTGATATACCTGTCTGATTTACCTGTTTGAATTACCTGTCTGATATACCGTTCTGATTCACCTGTTTGACTTACCTGTCTGATTCACTTGTCCCACTCGGTTTCTCAGGTGTGCTTAGCGCCAGGTAGTGTGCTGTGTCGTGATAACATTCTGTGTGTTGAGTTATCGACGACTAAGTTTAGGATCTGTGTCGTTATGTAACAAGACTTCGTTCAGGTATGTAATTAGTGTTATATTCCAGGTGGTGTCTTGTTCATTCAGAAAGAGAAAGAGAGAGAGAGAAAGAGAGAACACATCACACTCTCCATAACGAGCTAAAAGTTAGAAGTAATTTACATTCTCCTATTTCTGGTCTTCCAATTTCAACTTCTCTCGTTAAAAAAAAAACACAAAAAAAAGCCCAGCAAAAACAACAGAAAATAATATGAAATTCCAATTTTTGGGAGAATTTTCCGAAGAGATAACACATTTTCCCACGAGATAACGAATTTTCCCACGAGGTAACGAATTTTCCCACGAGATAACGAATTTTCCCACGAGGTAACGAATTTTCCCACGAGATAACGAATTTTCCCACGAGATAACGAATTCTCCCACGGGATAACGAATTTTCCCACGATAACACGAATTTTCCCACGAGATAACGAATTCTCCCACGGGATAACGAACTTTCCCACGATAACACGAATTTTCCCACGAGATAACGAATTCTCCCACGGGGTAACGAATTTTCCCACGAGATAACGAATTTTCCCACGAGATAACGAATTCTCCCACGGGATAACGAATTTTCCCACGATAACACGAATTTTCCCACGAGATAACGAATTCTCCCACGGGATAACGAATTTTCCCACGATAACACGAATTTTCCCACGAGATAACGAATTTTCCCACGAGCTCGCAGATTTTCCCACGGTATTACCCCATTTGGGAGAAAACTTTTGCTGTGGCCTTGCCTACTGCATTACGCTTTACTGGGCTTCTTATTGCTGAAGTTCTCAACTCACGTCAACATATGTTTGTGTGTGTGTGTGTGTGTGTGTGTGTGTGTGTGTGTGTGTGTGTGTACACCGTTACATGTGTGTGTTTGTGTGTGTGTGTATGTGTGTATACGTGTGTGTGTGTGTGTGTGTGTGTGTATATACTGTATGTCTATGATTATGCTTGTGTGAGTGTGTATATGTACAGTATGCTTGTGTGTGTGTATGCATGTATACAGTTTACAACATATACAGACACCTCAAGTATACAGTATACATAAATCATACAGTTATACAATTACCAATACACCTGAACATTACAGGTAGACAAACAATAATAATAAACATTAAGGCCATTTAACCAAAGATAAACAACAAAGCCATCAGGTGTTTATATCCTGTAGGGTCCTGTACCGAGATATATCCCTGGGGTCCTGACGAAGTGTATCTGGTTAAGTGAGGTGAGAGTTAATCCTTAAAAGAGGCGGCGGCCATGTTGTGAGGGCAAAGCTGGAGCTGGCGGCTGAATTTCGTTTTCTGGGGAAGACAGCTCAGTGGAATACGAAAGTCCCGATGTTTATTGGTTAGTTGTGGTTTTGGCAGTTTGGAGAGAGAGTGTATCTGTCAGCATGTCGTTCCTGATTCAACAAACCAACTTTCATTGTTGATTTAGTTTCTTCTTTTATCTCTGTGTCTCTCTATCTCTGTGTCTCTCTATCTCTGTGTCTCTCTATCTCTGGGAACTAACCAAATAATAACTATTTACTGCGGCTGAAGTTCTCGAGGGAAGGCTGTCAGAGTTCTAATCTTTACTGCTGGCCGTCTCTTTCTCCAACACTCCAACAATCCAATACGTCTCTATCTCTCTCCAACACGCCTCTCTCTCTCCAACACTCTCTCTCCAACACTGCTGGGTGGGCGGCTCCAACACTCTCTCTCAACACTCCAGCACACTCTCTCCAACACGCTCTCTCTCTAACACGTCTCTCTCCATCACTGCTGGGTGGGCGCCTCCAACACTCTCTCTCCAACACTCCAGCACTCTCTCTCAACACGTCTCTCTCCATCACTGCTGGGTGGGCGCCTCAACACTCCAACACTCTCTCTCCAACACTCCAGCACTCTCTCTCTCCAACGTCTCTCTCCATCACTGCTGGGTGGGCGCCTCCAACACTCAACACTCTCTCTCCAACACTCCGGCACTCTCTCTCTCCAACACGTCTCTCTCCATCACTGCTGGGTGGGCGCCTCCAACACTCAACACTCTCTCAACACTCCAGCACTCTCTCTCCAACACGTCTCTCTCCATCACTGCCTCCAACACTCCAAATGAAACAATATGTTATAACTTTTCACTCCACCACGAAAAATAAGACACGATATTAACTCTACAGAATGACTTGGGAGTAGGGGCGTGAGGGGGAGGAGGGAGGGAAAGGGGAGGAGTGAGAGGAGGGAGGAAAGGGGAGAGTGAGAGGGAGGGAGGAAAGAAGGAAGGTAGGGGGGCTGTTGTTTCGCTGATTTTAAAAGTGGAGATGGGTGTCCTTGTTGGTGGTGGTGGTGGTGGTGGTGGTAGTTGTTGTTGTTGTTGTTGGTGGTGGTAGTTGTTGTTATTGGTGGTGGTGGTAGTTGTTGTTATTGGTGGTTGTTATTGGTGGGGGTGGTGATTTATCTCGTGATAGTTGTAGTTGTTGTTGTTGTTAAGATTGTTGTTGATGTTATCTTGACTACAACTATTGGGTGGGGACGGTTTTACTACTATAAGATTAACCCAAGTCACCTTATAACCTAACCCACCAGACCTCTTGTGGTAACTGAGGGGTGAGCAGAAGGTCGGGAGGGAGGAGGAGGAGGAGGAAGAGGAGGAAGAGGAGGAGGAGGAGGAGGAGGAGAGGAGGAGGAAGAGGAGTAGGAGGAAGAGGAGGAAGAGAGGAGGAGGAAGAGGAGGAAGGAGGAGGAGGAAGAGGAGGAGGAGGGAGAAGAGGTGAATGAGGTGTTGAGTGAGTGTTGGTGGTAATGTTTTTGGGTGATTTTTTTCTGTCTCTTTTCTCTCTGTCTCTTTTCTAACCAACCCAACCAACCCAGCCCAACCCAGCAACCCAACAACCTTGGCAACAACCTTCAGCAGCAACCCAACCAGCAACCCAACCCCCACCCAGCCCAACCCAACCACCCAGCAGCACACACCCAACCCCAACCCAACCCAACCCAGCAAC